CTGCAGTGTGGGGCAAGATACTGTCAAGCATGCTTCACCCTGTGGGTCCTCAGCAAGTGTATGATCCTCATCTCCTAGTCAGTGGTAACAGTAGCAGAGAGAAAACATCTGAGATCCCCCTGGCTGTGAAAGGTCTTTCTGGGAAAACCCTTGAGCGCTTGGAGGAGCTGGTGATATGCAGAGTGACAGCAGAGCAAGTACTGTAAGAGATATAAGAGATTAAGTTTCCTAATTAAGGCAGTATATAAGCAGTGGGGCTTAGGAGCCTGTGTTGCTGCTGGGGAGTCCAAGGGTAAAGCTGTGATCTGACCCAGACCTGAACCTTGAGTTGGCACTGGGCTGGACAGCCCTTCTCTGCTCTTGACTGAGGGCATCCCCGCCTGGTATTGAGCACTCCAGTGGCACTTAATAAAAAAGTAAATCAAACCAAACAGCTCAAAGGAATGTTTGGCTGCAATACAAAAGAATGAGGAGTATCACTCTGTTAACAGAAGCCATGTGCGGTAGTGTTTTGCATCTTTGTTGGAGCCACCCAAGCACTAAGTCAACTGAGACTTCACCTGACGGTGTAGGTGGTGGCACTATGCACAACCTTTAGCTCTTGGGACAGGCAGATGGGAGCTTCCTCTAGCCCTCCTGCTGCTAAAACTGCTGGGGCAAGACTCCTTAAAGTCCAATTTTGCTATGAATTTTAACCTTCCCCCATCTCCTCCTTTTCTCCTGCAGCATTGATGCCAGCCTCCGGATGATAGAGGTGTGATAGTTAAAGAGAATGAGGGTGTTCCAGATATTGGTTAAGTGGGAAGAGGAAATGTCACCACAGACCTGCCCTCAGATGGGCTGTCGCGTACCATACTTGGTGCATCACAGCCACTGCCTATTCACAAAACAGCTTGTGTGTGTTTTTGCAGCAGTGGGATGCACTGAAGACAGCTTTATGAACAATATCACACATAATGGAAAAATGAAAAAAAAAGAACACTAATGCATAAAAGTACAAAGCCAGGAAAAAGTAGAATTTGTCACTCAGTTTTGATGTCTCCCCCTGCTTTTCAAGTCACAAGTCTTGAGGTTTTTAGTCTCCTTCCAGGAAATGAATGAGATTCATAGCCTCGAAAGGGCTTAGTCATTTCTGTCAGAGAGAAATATTTGTTTTTAGTTTATTGTTTTGGGCATAGAAAGGATTCAGGTGCAAGGAAGAACAAAAGGATTTTTTTAATGTTTAAAACAGATTGTGTTTGGCTCAGCTTTCTGTAACTTGAGTGTTTTGGCTGGAGAGTTGAGATGCAAAACAACGTCCCAATAGCGCATATCTTTTACAGCACCTTGCGGTAGCTGACCCTGTATGAAGCAGACAGCAGTGTGTCTTTCAAATCTTAGGAATTGCTGATTTTGTGTCTTGATGGAAAATAGTGTTTAAATTTAAATTTAAATAAGAATAAGAATATTTAAATAAGAATATGTTGAATATGTTGAAGAAACTATGTGTTATCCTTTTTTCCTTATTTTCTTCCTGTTTGCCACTGAATGCAGTTGAATTAATTATGTGAGATTTTACATGTCTTGATGGAGTAGCCCAACCGCCCGTCAGCACCCTTC